ACTACTGATTCTTCTTTCAAATGCTATTAACAGACTTCACATAAAAAACCCCTTATAGGATTTCAACCGTGGGGTTCACATACAAAAACCCCTTATAGGAGGTAAACCCTAAACCATGTTTTGAACCAGGCAAAACAGAAACCAAGCAAGGAGAAAGAAAATCGAGAGATTGAGAGCTTGAGAGATCGAGATGGATACCTTAAATCGAGCGATGGAGAGGTACAAGACGGTAGACGAGAGCTTGAGAGATAGATCGAGAGGTAGAAGATGGTCGGCGAGAGCTTGAGAGAGAGATCGAGAGGGTAGCGACGCAATAATAAGAGGTTTTAAGTGAAAATGTTAGCTCTAAATAATTCAGACCTAATCAGAGCTTTTAAGCTCTTAATTGAAAAAAAAAACAAACACACTTAATACCCTAAGGTCTGGCCGATTCAGACATAAGAGGGTATTAAGTGCTTTTTTTGTAAAAACAAACAAGGCCTAAGAGTCACTAAAGGTCATGAATGCCCAGTTCATTAAAGGCAATGAGTCCAATAAAACCCATCAATACCCAATAGCATCCATTGAGAGCCGTTGATATCCACCATATACCAGCCATATACACATAAATACATATATCACTACATGCATATATATACATACATTCACCTCATACATACATATATATATATATATATATACATATGCATACATATACATACATCCATGCATATAGCCACTACATACATACGCAAATATATCCAAACATATCTTATTTGTATATACATATACATACGCACACACATAATTTACTTAATTAAATTCATATATAGCACATATGCTTTAAATAAATGTTTACCTTAATTACATACATACGTACATTCAGAAGTCTATACATACTTAGGGGTCGTTTACTAAACACCTACCCAGTAAGAACTTACCGGTAAAATTCAACACTATCACTTATTTACCAGATAAGATTTTAGCTTATTAAAACGACATTGTTACAACAATTTACCAGGTAAGCGCTAACCGTTGTAAGAGTCGTCGCACTTACTTACCGGGTAAGACTGTTGGTCATTACCTTGCTTTTACCAGGTAAGACTGTTGGTCCTTGTCTCACTCTTACCGGGTAAGATTCTTGAATCTTACCATATTTATTCGGTAAGATAATATGACTTGATAAACGTTTACCTGGGTAAGTGTTTGGTGAACGACCCCTTAGTTATGCACATACATTTGCCACATACATACACATACATTTTGTACTATACACTTTAAATACTTTGATATAGATATATAATTTAATATCAGTTAAAATTATAATTAAAATGTAATTCCAAAAAAGTATATATCATTAAACGTTATTATTTTAAATTAAATTTTAATAAAAGTCATATATTAAATTAATAATTAAAAATATACCAAAAGTTAAATTTCCTCCAAAATATTTACGTTTACGATATTCAATATTTAAAAATTAAAAAGCAAATAAAGTGCCGACAAAATTGAAAGATTTTATCTTTACTAATTAGAGTGCCCTACCCTCCATTTTCCTTCCCCTTTTTATTGGATCCTGATTGAACTATCCCTTTAAAAAAAATTAAATTACAAAAATAACCTACAAAATATCATATGTCAAAAAATGGCTCCCCATTTAATCGTACACGTTCCTTGATGCGTAAGGGATTTTTTTGCAAAAGAAAATAACAAATATGATGATGTGACTCCTTCTATGTGACCCCTTTGATGTGACCACTTAGGCTAGACATGACCTTACGACGGTCGACCTGACCCTTACGCACCGGCCGCTGTGCGGTGCGTAAGGGGCCTACACAAGTTGCTTTTTTCATTTCTAATATGCTCATTTTCAAAACAACATTTATCCTATTTTGTTTTTTCATTTCTCAAATTTCACTATATATATATATATATATATATATAAACCTTACTACTCAATCCCCAACATAAAACATCACTTTCATCTTCACTCTAGGATCATTTTTCCACATTCTATTTCAAACCTTAATATAATCTCATTTTTACACCATTAATTTTAATTTTTCAGCTATCTCTTTCGTCGTCATTGATCAACATTTGATATGGTAAATATTCTTACATTAAATTAAAAGCATATTTATATTTCAGACTAATTTGGATTCATATGTTATTTTTGTAAACTTTTTGTATTATATCTACGAGTAGGATTATTATGAAACATTGGTGAATATAAAATTAAGTATTGAAATTTCAAATACAATTTTGAGGGCATTGTGGAGGTCGACAAACAGACTACAAATGTTTAGGAACACCTGTTTTGGTCATTGGCTCGACTGATTGTTTTCAGCACCACGATCGCAAACATAAAATCTTAGGGCTTACAGTGAAATATCCACACCAATAGCTAGAAAATGTCTCGTATCAACCACAAGGGTGGTGCCTGATTGTTTTGAGCTTGGTTCCAAAGATGAAAAGTACCAGGAGGTCCCTGGTTCAAATCCAAGGAGGAATAAATATCCCCTTGTGGCCACAGAGGTTCAAATGCGGTGACTCCGGGCTATATGCAAAGCAGGTGGTCGTCCTGGGATTAGTCGGCTCGCATAGTGGGTTGGATATCCATGTTAATAAAAAAAATGTCTCATATCATCGCTATCAAATAACTCAACAACCGAACCAGATGATGGAGATTTATACATAAAACGATTTTCTAAATCTAGTAAGTTTAATTTTCTAGCTAAAAAATTGATCAAACCAGATCTTAAGTGTATCGACAACAACACAACCGCTTTTTGCGTTTCTGGAATGAATTAGATAGAAGTCTATAAAAACTCTGATATTCAATCTTTGTATTTGTTATCTTGTAAATTTATTGTCATGTCTGATCAAATACTTATATATTTTGGTATTTAAATGCCCGTTTTTACCGAGGTTTAAATCATTGCTATTTTTAAATTTTAGGAGTGTTATTAAACTGTTTCCTAGAAAGCTAAATTCAAGATAGGTCGTGCCTTATTAAAATGCCAAATGTTCCCTTATTTTGTTATTGAGTTAGTTGATTCTGAAAAAGGAACTACTTTTATTCAATCCCTTGGCAATATTGTATCAACCTCCCGAGGTTGTTCATTTTACAGATTATAGCATGAAATTTTCGGGCTCTTTAAAAAGCCCAATTATTTGTAATTTTTTTAACCCACACTTTTGATAGACCAAAAATGGATCCTTAAATGGACCTTCAGCTCATTTTATGTTGATCCCAGATCTCTCAATAACACTAATAATCTAGTTATGAATAACCAAATTATAGTGATTTAATGAAGAAAGTTATAAAGTCTCAAAAATAAAATAAGAATATTTAAGAACAACTTTGAGCTTCAAAGGTTTTACTTTATAGATTCATAAACGTAAAACAATGAGTAAAAGTCCTATTTTTACAATAGACCTAATCATCTATTTATACTAAACGAACGACTATTAAGAAGATAACTATCTAATGCTACTTTCTAGCAAATCGTCTATCTAACAGATAGGGTTTATCTTTCACATGGATAAACATTAACAATAAGATAAACTCGAATTCCCGCTGTTGATTTGTCATCTCTAGCTGTCATTCATGGTATGAAGATTTCATCCTTATCTTTAAATCTTCATTGCGTGCTTGGATGCAGTGCTGGAAAATCTTCTAAGTGTTGTTTGTCTAGAGGATCGATGATAATGCTTCTTTCCATCGCATCCTTTAACTTGTCCATTGATCATCTGGTTGAACTTGTCCATTGGTCCAATGGTTGAACTATCCATC